GGTGATGACTAGCTGCCTTCCCTCTAGTCTTACACTGCTAAATTAGGGACGGCTAGCGCAGATAGCCCTCGTGTAGCTTTGCGCGAAATTCAACAATCAAACAAACTTTGTTCCCTGTGGTGAGCATAGCGCAGTATCAGATTATGCAGCTATTCGCTTAAAACAAAAGAAAAATCTAAAATAATACTTATTTTTATTTCCACAATCAGCACCAGTCATGAGATTTATAAATCGGTTTTTGGTGTTAATCTAAGAATTCTCTTTAATCCTCTTTGGAAAGAGAATTTCATTAAATTATTTCAGGACCTCGAACCGACGACCATTTCCGTCCAAGACTTTGATGAATCATTATGAGGTGTTTACTTGGCACCATAAGAACCGGAAAAGCTCTTGACTTTGATCAATATACGATCAAAAGATCCATAGTGGAAAAGAAAGCCATTTCCTTCTTGTCAAACTGATCTCATCTTGTTTAACTGAAGATGGTGTTCTTTATATTGGAATGAAATTACTAGAAGTAGGACCTTTCCTGACTGTTAATAATAATGAAACACAGAAATGATATTTGTAGGTTAAAATCTCCGCTGAAATAAAAAAAAGACCGTTGTTAATATTCTGTTATTTTTAAACAACCTTAACGAGATTTGAATATAAAAAAACAACAAGAAACACGCAAGTTTGAACAATATTCACTAATTTTCAAAAACATTGTGATAAATTTTGCAAGCAAAAATTAATACTTTACAAAAAATTATGTAAGGAATTAAGTAGAATAAAGCGAGTGTTTTACGAATTTTTCAATGATATGTATAACGAAAAATTGTGGTTGCGCATAAATAAACATTTTACCATATAAAAAAGTCCCTCTGTGGATCAGCGTAAGTTTACAGACGTACAACGCTAAACTCTGGGTTCGATTTTTTCCAGTCCCCCCGGCGGGACAACGGTAAGTTTACGGACTTGAAACGTGAAATTACGGGGTTCGATTCCCCTCAGTGGACACAGCAGATAGGTGTGCTTTCTTCTTCTTCTACATCGGGATTAGGTCCATGTATTGGGCCAGAGAAGGTCAGATTCAGCGTTGACCTCTTCCTTCCTCTCAGGAATCGTTATTTTGTTTGCACTCTTACTGAATTCTAGGTAATAACCCTTGCTCCGTTTTTGCATTACTCACAGTATGTTAAATTTTATCCACTGTCTGCAGTTTTGATTAACGTAATCTTTTCGTGCCATCTCCAATTTATGGGGTAATATTAACTCGTATATTTTCACTAGCTCCACTTATGCATGCTACGTTGTTGCATTACTCATAGTCGATTTCCCTCGATGGGCAGAGCACAGATATCTCATTGTGAAGCCTTACGCTAAAAAACATAGCGACTTTCCTCATTATTCATTCACTTTTGACATATCTTGAAACCAAAGAAAACCACGACACTTTTTTATAAAATACGTGATATTTATCATTTGAAACCAGTGACAGGTTTTTTTTCTTTTCTTTTAATATTTATATGATATGCAGCTTGAAGATATTTGCTATTCTATTATACATTTGACGAATTAAAACATAAATAATAAAATACATTTTAACATGAAACATTAATAACTTGCATAACGTATTAAATACTTATGTATAAAGTGGACACAGTTAATAGCTAAAGACTGGCGGATTACTAGAGTGTTACGCCCTCTCTTCAGCCATGACATGTGACTAGAAAAAGTAGAGAAAAATTAATGATTGATGAGTAATAGGAGACACAGTTAATTTAATTCATAGAATTTTTATTTCTTACCACATGGTCAATTTATTATGGTTTAGTAGAAACGATATATAATATACTTAGGGAACAAAATGTATCTTTTAATTTTTTATTAAAATAGTGGCGAAAATAATTCTTGTTACACTTTACATCTTTATAGCAAATGTTACTGTTGTTGAGAATGTTTAAAATGTTCGTACGAAGCTACACAAGGGATATCTGTTCCCTAATCTTGAACCGGTAAGCGTGAGGGAAGGTAGATAACACAGGCCTGCGATGGTTTTATTGTATTGAAATATTTACATGTTCTACAGTAATTCCTGTACGCTGAATCCGAAAATGATATCAATTTTTCTCCATCACGTACAGATTTTTCACAAAACGTCATAACGCAATACATAAAAGAAAGACCACAACACGTAGTTTTGAGACTGCAAGACGTAGATTTCATACAAAAAAAAATCAGGATGAATGAGGATGCATATTCGTTTGACATTAATGTTCTTCCTTTTTCTTCAGTTTGTTTGTATTTTTGTTAACAAACATAATAATAAAAACTATTCAGTGTGGTAATAGACATAATAAGTTGATCTAAGTAAGAATGTTTTTTTCTTCCCGATTTATAAAAAATCCTTACGTGATAGAAAAAAATTAATATTATTTTCGAAATCTACGTAGCTAAATTATAAAAAATCCGTTATTAAAACCAAAGTTTAAATTCCCAGGCCTGTGTAATTAACAGCACCCATTGGGCACTCTTGGGCTACTCTGACCTGACTGAATGAATTTTAAACGTTATTTCTATTGTGCACCCACTGTTTCAAAGTTTGGGGCACGTTTTAAGGATTCGACCCATAAACCATCGTATTCATTGTCTAGATTATTATAGCAAAGTAATAAGTCAACATAAGTTAAGTTTTGTTTTTGCGCAATGCTTTTTTTTCTTTTAGTAGATATTTTGTAAATACAGTGTTATCATTTGATATTTGTTTACATATCTTCTAGTATTAAATCGACGCTATATATTTGTATTTTAGGTGAGCTTAACCTAACAATCGTGATCACTCTTCAAAATCTGATAAATGTTGAAAGTAAGGTTTATAAAATACAGACTTAATTAAAAGACAAAGACTTCCATATTTGCAGGATGGACAAGTGACAGTTGAGGAGTTTAAACAGGCTGTTCAGAATGTCTGTGTAGGGAAAAACTTTGACAGTTTTCCTGATTCTCTGAAGTACGCCATCACTTCCAAGTTCAACACTACTGATATTAACAGTAAGTATCACAAAGAAAGAATTCTCTGTGTGTTGCTTGTGTAAGTCTTTACGTCCAACAAGGCATCCTTATACAGGTCTGGCATACAGTAAGTTTGACTATAAAGGTGTAGGTGGTGGTGGTATAAAACCCATAGCTCAGCTTTACCAGTTTGTACAGGTGTATAAATATATATATAAGAAAATACTGTAATATCAGACTGTTCTGTTTTTCTCTCCTTTATTAGTTTCTTCAAGCGATTTCGTAACTTCAAAGATCACTCTTTAGGATGTTATTTTACTGAATATCATAACAAATACTGTTTTTCAACTAAACTAAACTAAATACATATACTTTCTAAGTGTAGGCAGATTTTGTTAAACAAGACCGATGTCTGTAGGTTTACTTTCTTCTTAGAATTCTTCTCAAGAAGTCGATAAGCCGTCTAAGTGTATGAACGTATAATACACTCCATGTATATATGTCCCCCAGTGGCACAGCGACATGTCTGCGGATTTACAACACTAGAAACCGGGTTTCGATGCCCGTGGTGTAGCTTTTCGCTTAACTACAAACAAACACTCAATGTATAAATTAAGTACAATGAAAATGCTCAAAAATAAATAAAATCAGTCAATATACATTTTAAATTAAAATATTATTCTAATAATCTTTTCTCTTATTATTATTATAAGAATGTAATTTATTCATCCTATAAGTTTGTATTATTACTTATTTTATTTTCTGTAAGTCTTAGTAACAGTTTTCACAAGTCCTACTGATTTTACACAACCAGTTTCTTCTGTCGTCTTACTATTTAAAGTGGCGCCAAAATAGTTATAAAATATTTTTTGAAAATAATATTTTATATTTTACATTACACACCCGAAAAGGGGAAATATAAAAGAAGGGTCTTTTAGAAGAGATTAGTGAACCTAAAGAGAATCTAATACCTTTTGTTGTGACTCATTGTACAAAAACACAAATTGATATTTCATTTCTTAATACACAATTAAAACAAACTGTAGATAAAAAAACTGAAAGATCTATTCAAAAACAATATAATTATTTTATCAAGAAGACAACCTGAAAATTTTTATTTATTAAATTCCGTGTTAGATGTCCCGTAATAAAAGCCAACTGTATGTCAGCAAACGTTTTAATGGATGTTTTTGAGAAAATTTAAAATGTTTAAATGGCCCTACAGTGGCACAGCGGTATGTCTACGGACTTACAACGCTAGAAACCGGGTTTCGATACCCGTGGTGGGCAGAGCACAGATAGCTCTTGTGTAGCTTTGTGCATAATTAAAAACAAACTGTTTAAATGTTTTTTTTATAAAAAGAAGTTCTTCTTAGAACTTTCAAAACCTCTTAATATAAGTTTTTTCTGGACAGTGACACTTAACTAAGAATTATCTTAGTCCTAATAATCTATTAGCTCTCGTTTCTTCATTGGAAATCAAACGCTATAATCTACTCGCAAGATTCACGGGAACATTTAATTTTATATGTTTGGGATGACTACTAAAAAAATCTACATACTGATGTGAGTTTATACAAAACGTCCTTGTGTAAAGTCAGTAAGAATTGAGAAACCGTGAAGACTGTTAATAAGACTTGCAGAAAAGACAAAAGTAAGTAATAGTAAGAAATTATAGGTTAAATAAACTGCATTTCTAAAATAATAAGAGAAAGTATAATTATAATAAGATTTTAATTTAAAAAAGAAAAGATATTGATTAATATTACTTATTTTATGAGCATTTTTAATGTACTTAATTTATACATGGAGTGTATTATATGTTTGTACATTTGTAAAGTATATGTATTTAGTTTAGATTATGGATGTTGAGTTGAAAAAACGGTATTTGTTATAGATTCTCAATAAAATAACATCCTGAAGAGTGATGTTTGAAGTCACGAGACCGATAGAAGAAATTATAAGAGGAGAGAAAAAATAGAATAGTCTGCTATTCCCGAATTTTTTATTTGTATCTTATTGAAGTTTTGGTTACAGATATATTGATATATTGTTCTGTATATATATATTTATACTGCACAGTGCATATTAAATTGCAAAATTAAAACATACATGTATTGGCAAATTCTACAAATGTAAAATGTTTTGCTGAAAACACTTGCTAAAGTATTACCAACCTATCACTGATGGGAAGTAAACAGAAAGGTACTTAAGTAATTATATATAGAGGTTTTTAACGTTTAAAGATGGTACACAGCTCTGTTTAATAACAGAGCACCAATATTGACATTGTAGGATAACAAAGATGCCGTTAAAAGTTCTATCTATAATCATTTAGGAACTGTAGTTAAAAGTGTTAGTTTGATGTCAGAGCCCGTTCATTAACTCATTTATCACAAGGATTTCTTACAACTACTGAATATTAACTCTTGAGCAGAAAATCATGTTCATCATTAGGCGATCCATATTATTTCGTCTATCAAGTCCTAACTTGTTTGAAATCTGGTGTTAAAATGGGCGTAGAGCATATTGTTTGTTTTTGAATTTCGCGCAAAGTTACACGAGGTCTATCTGCGCCTTAGCCGTCCCTAATTTAGCAGTGTAAGACTAGAGGGAGTGTAGCTAGTTATCATCACCCACCGCCATCTCTTGGGCTACTCTTTTACACAACGAATTGTGGGATTGGCCGTCACATTGTAACGCCCCCACAGCTGAAAGGGCGAACATGTTTGGTGAGACGGGGATTCGAACCCACGACCCTCAGATTGCGAGGCAAGCGCCCTAACCTCCTGGTCATGCCGGGCCCGAGAACATATTGAGCATTTAATATGGCTTGCCTTTTACTGTATTCTTAAAATGAAATAGCATTACTGGTTTTCAAGGTCACCTTGTAGGGCTACCTACAGTCGTTTTATGTAAAGGTATGTTTTTATACATATGAACTAAATGACAAAACTATAGTTTTAGGGTTTTCTCGCCACCTATACATTTATACACAAATAAATGCCCCTTTCCCCAGTAACTCAGCAGTAAGTTTGTAGGCTTACGACGCTACAAATCCGGTTTCGATAGCCGTGGTAGGCAAAGTACAGATATTCCATTGTGTTTAACAACATTAAACAAAACGAAGTAAATTTTGGCCAGCCCTGTACATATATATATTCTTTTGTTCTAATACGCCACTATCACCTAGTTCGGAAACATTTTCTGCTCTTGAAATTAACCTTAAAAAATTATCATTTGTTTGTTTGTTTGTTTG